ATAATGTCAAGGCCCATGGAAGTGGCCTCAGGTCATTTTGTCTTAAATACTTTTCAGATGCTTCCATCAAAGCTGAAACGGTGCTTTGGTGCTTCCAAGTAGCATTCACTGAAGATTCAAGTTAGAGCTGTGCTTATCTTTGGAACAGTAACAGCAAATCTTCGGTACAAAGCTTACTTGAGTCATCTGCAAATTTGCCTACATTTCTTGATCTTCAGTCTTCTCTGGGTTGTTCTGAAAACGCTTCTCTCAGACTCTTGCCTCCCATTCTGCCAAAACTGCTCACTGGTAATTAACACTGCACCCAATGACCAGGTCTTGATTCTAGAGTTACTTTTTGAAGTTTCTGACACTACATCCTTTCTTCAGCTGGCTTTTAGGTCAGCACCATCATTTCTGATGGATATTCATTCCTTAGTTGCCTACTCATGCAGGAGCCATGAGCCAAGAGGAGCAGCCACAAGTGGTCAGTAACTGCATATATTGAGTGGCTCAGTTCTAGATAATTCCTGTTTTTTCTTCCTCTTAGCTGTTTGCTGCTGCTTTAATGAATCTTTTTGGGGAATCTCCTACAACTCATCATGTTGATGTGCTTCAGTTCTCTCTTCTTAGCCTGTCATTTCATCCAGTCTTGTGGTTTTAACTACCCTTCTCCAGAGTTACTTGAATTCCCACCACCTACTTGCTGCTTTTTGAAGTGGACTCTCCCTAGGTTACCTCGGATGGTTTTGAATTTGATCCTCTTGCTCCAGCTCCCCAAGTACCTGGGATCGCTTGCGTGCATGCATCACTACACCTAGTTTCACTTCACTGCCTGCCTGCCCTTCATACAATTACTAAAAGGCTCATGAAATTTAACCTGTCTGAAATCAAGCAGCTAATGTCAACCCGTCAAAACCTGTTTTTCAAGTCTAGTACCAGTTGGGCCTCGGGCTTGTCAACCAGCACTTTGGGAAGAGGACCAGTTCAAGGACAACCTAAGCCACACAGCAAGTTCGGGACCCTGTCTCAGGCTGGGTGTAGTAACCACACCTTAATTTTAGCACTGGGAGAGACAGGCAGTTCTAGAGTGAGTTCCAGGACGGCCGGGGCCACACAGATAAACCCATCTCAAAGAAGTCCTAATCAGCACCCCATACCTTCAAGCCATTCCCCACTCTTTTTGGCCAGTTCTGCTCCAGCCACACTACCATCTTTTCCTTTTCTGAAAGTCTTATACTATGTAACTCATAAACTTAGGATCCTCCTGCCTCTGCCTCCAGAGTGCTGGGATTACAGACATGTGCTTCCTTGTTTGGCTCTAGTTCTTGATTTTGGAACATTTCAGAAATTTCAGACCCAGGGGCTTAGTGCTCTGTGTTTTCTTCTAACTGTGGCTTAAATGTCACCTTAGTGAATCTGACTGCCTAACTGAAAGCAAGCATTCTTCCCAGTTTAACTTTTCCCTACAGTATTTACCTATTCTCACACGATCATATGTACATTTCCTCAAAATCTTGGTTTTTTGTCATGTATTGTGAAGAGCCCTATGCTTGCAATAGTAACTGGCACACAGTAGGTGCTCAGTATGTATTTATGAATGTATACGCCTCTTGTTATTACCGTAAAAATCACTCTAATTCATTTTCCCTAGAGAGCAAAGTCAAGAGCTAATATTTACTATTAAGCGTGTGGCCTAATCTACAGGTGTTCTAGGTTAATTCAGTTCTTTTAGATCTCAGGATTTAGTGATATTCTCTTCAGGGCCAAGATTTAAACTGTCCCTCAATATAATTTTGGTTTGAGTTCTTGTAATATCAGTTGGCTTGAAATTTTCCTTATTGGTGTTGAGTAAAAAAAAAAAAATACAAGTTTTTTTTTTTAATTGAATGGATGGCTAGAGTCCTCAATAAATTTGTTTCAGTCTTGAAAATTATAGTTTCTTAAGCCACCCAGTGTGTACAAAGTCCAAGGGCTCTTAGAACTACATAACAGTTTCAGTCCCTGGTGTTCCAGTACCGTGGATCAAGAAAGCATTCATAAACAACTACCATCTCCCTCAAAATTCTGGCTAGAGTAAATTTCTATTTAAAACTATACGCCTGTAGCCTGTTGATATCTCAATGTGAGCTGCTACTTTTTAAGGTTTAAACAGCTTATTTCTAGAATTCACTGTTTCCTGAACCAGAACTTTAAATAAACAAAGGAGTTTTGATCCCAAAGGTCACCAGAGAACTAGAATAATTACAGTATTTTTATGGCATTTTTATACTTGGAAGTTAACACACTGGTTTAAAATGACTGTTTTCAAGGTTAATCCTAGGTATATATAATCAGCCCAGAACCTCTACTCTTTTTTATTTGATGGTACCCTGCTTCGTACTTGACCCAGTTCTCCTAACCTATACAGAAGTTGCAATAGGAAAGGGGGTACAGGCCTTCTCAAAACAAATTAAATACACAGGGTGTACGCCTTTAATCCCAGCACTTGGGAGGCAGAGGCAGGTGGGATCTCTGAGTCTGAGGCCAGCCTAATCTACAGAGAATTCCAGGACAGCTAGTGCTACACAGTGAAATCCTGTCTTGAAAAACCAGAAAATATAAAAACAAAAGATCCATCAAACCTACAACTCAGAACCTCAAAACACAGTATAAGTACAAATACTATATTGAAATGTCTTTATTAAACAAAGAAGTAAATATAAACATTTTAGGAGCAAGTTGAGCTATCAATTTAAACTATTTTTTTTTTAACCCTGCATGTTTATCTGTGTACCATATGAGGAAGTCAGATCCCAAGGATTGGAGTTACAGAGGGTTGAGAACCACCATACAGGTGCTGGGAACTGAACCCAGGTCTTCTGTAAGAACAGTCAGTGCTCTTAACTGCTGAATCACCTCTTCAGCTCCCTTCATTTAAACTATTTAAAATATACTATTTTAAATTATATACAGGCAAGTTTTTTTTCTTTAAAGGATTATGTAAATCTAGAAATATTTGAATATTAGAAACATTATTAAACAAGTAAGAATCTCTGGCCATTAGTAATTTTTCCTAATTGAAATTATCTTAGAGTGCTTAGTGGAATGTCCATGCTCCAGGAAAACATTTTTAAAATGAAAGCGGTGTAAAGTGAGTGTCCTTAGCAATATCAAGCATGATTTCAGGTATTAGAACATACAATCTGCAGCTGTGTATGTTAGCATATAGCACTCAGGAGGCAGAAGCAGGCAGATGGTCATGAGTTTGGGGCCAGCATGATCTAAGGAACAAGTTCCAGCTAACCAGACTACATAGCAAGAGCCTGTCTTTAAAAAAAACAAAAAACAAAAAAACCCCAAAAAACAGAGGGGCTGGAGACATGGTTCAGTGGTTAAGAGCATTGCCTGCTCTTCCAAAGGTACTGAGTTCAATTCCCAGCAACAACATGGTGGTTCAAAACCATCTGTACTGGGGTCTGGTGCTCTCTTTCTGGCCTGCAGGCACACATTCAGGCAGAACACGGTGTATATATAATAAACAAATAAATAAATAAATATTTTTAAAAAAGGAAAAAAAAAGAAAGAAAACAACAAAAAGCCAGGTATGACTGTGCAAACCTGTGATCCCCAACATTCAGAAGTAAGATATAGCAAGTTCAAAGCCAGCTGGACTATGTAGTGAATTTCAGGTCAGACTAGCCATATATATAGCAAGACCCAATCTCAAAACAAAATAGATATATTGTAACTAAAACAATTATTCTAGGGGCTGGAGAGATGGCTCAGTGGTTAAGAGCACTGGCTGCTCGTCCAGAGGATCCAGGTTCAATTCCCAGTAACCACATGGTGGCTTACAACTGTCTGTAACTCCAGTTCCAGGGGATCTGACACCTTCACACCAATGCACATAAAATAAAGTCCAAAGAGAGAGAGAGAGAGAGAGAGAGAGAGAGAGAGAGAGAGAGAGAAAGAAAAAGGTCAGCATGAGGACCTATGGTAAAAAGTCTAGTCAACCCCCCAAAAGATTTTAATTTCATTAGGTACTTGCTGCATTTCAATTGTCAAAATTAGGAAAGATGCACTGTAAATTTAAAAGTCTACCCCAGTTCCAATGATAGATAGCAGAAAAAAAATACATACAATGTATTTAGGAATTTATATTTTAAAACTATTCAACAGCTCCTTTTTGACTAAAATAATATGCCTACAGGAAATAGCTAAGTTACAATCAATGTATTTTATTGGGCCTCATTTTTATTCTTGTATAAATGTATACATATACACACAGTATTATACTGCTCTCATCAATTCTTTCAAATATAATTGTCTAGGACCATGATAAGCAGATTGTTTGTTTGTTTTGGTTTGGTTTTTTGAGACAATGTTTCTCTGTGTAACAGTGCTGGCTGTCCTAGAACTCATTCAGTGACCAGGATGGCCTCCAAGTCATAGAGATCTGCCTGTCTCTGCTTCAGGAGGGCTGGGATTAAAGGCGCGAGCCACCACCACCAAGCAGTTTTTATAAGCTAAAAGATGCGGACACACACCATTTGGTTTAATGATTTTTTGTTTTGTTTTTCAAAACAGAGTTTTCTCTGTGTAGCCTTGGCGGTCCTAGAACTGTTCTGCAGACCAGGCGAGGCTGTCCTTGAACTTGGAGATCCCACCTGCCTCTGCCTCTGGAGTGCTGGAATTAAAGGCAAGCCCTTCACCACCGGGTGATTAAAAAAAAAATAATTTATTTATTATTTATTTATTCATTTATTTATTTGTTTGTTTGCTTGTTTGTTTTTTTTTCAAGACAGGGTTTCAATGTGTAGCTCTGGCTGTCCTAGAACAGCTCCATAGACCAATCTGGCCTCTAACTCAGAGATTCGCCTCCCTCTGTCTCCTGAGTGAGTGCTGGAATTAAAGGTGTGTGCCACCACCACCTGGCCTCAATGCTCATTTTAAAGAAGTACACAAATCTAAAAAACTGTCAGTTTAAATTTTATCCATTATGAATGGTTCCATTGTATTTTTGAATGAGAAAACAAAACTTCATTTCAAATATTTATTGTACTTTTCTTTGTTAGAAACAGGAAGTTCTCTTTGTTACAAACTTTACCCAAAGAAAGAAAATAAATGAGTTCCCCAACTAGACCACAGGTCTTCTGCAAGTACTAGCACATGATGATCAGGAAATAGTAGTGCTCTGATGTCTTGATCTATTTTATTTGAAGCAAGGTCTTGAAATGTAGTGCAAGCAAGGCTCCAACTTTGGATCCTCCGCCTCAGTCTCTCAAGAAGCTGGGATTACAAGTGTACAACATCTCACTCAATTTATTAGCAGTCTTAAGCTATTGCTAAGATGCTGGTTTAGGTCGTTTTGCAGATGGTCCATCTGAGTTAGTTCTGCTACCACTGTTATTTTCATCTTCTGCATCATCTTCATCATCACCTTTTAAAATAAATGTTTGTTGTGTGACATTATGTTTAGTGGTTGAAAGAAATACAGATAGGTAAAGTGATATGAGCCCATTTCCCTTTGGAGACTAAAAGCCATGCATACCTCACATTTTCTAAACTCTAGAAGCCAGTGGATGGCTCAGAGGGTAAAGCAAATACAGTGAAAGTTTGGTGACCTGAGTTCAATCACTGGAACCCATGGAAGGCAGAGGAGAGGACTGACTCTATACATGTAACATGCCACCACATACACACATTAAAAGAATGCTTATGTCTAACTCTCGTGATGGGTATTTGTATTATTTCCACTTTATAGCTATTAATCAGCAGTGCTGCTACAATCAGTGTAGTGTATTGAGTTTTGGTATAAACATATTTCCAGTTAACTGTGCAGAAATAATGGTGTAACTATGGGGTACTATGGTTAAGTTTTTGAGGAACTCTAAGGTGGATACAAAATTTTACACTTCTCCAATAATGGCCTCTAATCTCTTTACATTCTAGGTGATGGCTAATCTTGGTTGTCAACTTGACTACATCTGGAATTAACTGAAACCCAAGCATCTTGACCCATCTGAGGAATTTTTCTTGGATTATCTGAGGTTAGAGACACCCTAAATCTGGTCCACACATTCTGGTGGCATAAGGAAGAAGGAAGCTTTTGTTATTTGCCCGCTTGCCTTCACTGTTCCCCTTGTTAGTGTTAGAACCTGCCTACTACTTCTGGACTCCAACACAGATGGAAAACTGGCAGTTCTCAGAGCTTCCCTGGGACTATAGCACCAGATTAGGACTGCTGAGACATCCAGTCTCATGGACTGAATATTAACTGGATCCTTGGCTTTTCTGTCACGAGCTAGCCATTGCTGGACTACTCAGACCGCAGGCTGCAAAGGCACTCTAATATATATAAAACCAGTTTTGCTTCTTTAGAGAATCCCGACTAAATACACCTAGCTAATACTTTTTATTGCTTTTTTTGTTTGTTTGTTTTTGAGTCAGGGTTTCTCTGTGTAGCCTTGGTTGTCCTAGAACTCATTCTGTTCTGTAGACCAGGCTGGCCTCGAACTCACAGAGATCCACCTGCCTCTGCTTCCAGAGCATTGGGATTAATGGTGTGCGCCACCACCAGTGCCCTGCTTTTATCGTTCTTTTCAATGACAGCCAATATCCATATTATAAAGAGAAGTACAGTTTAACCTCCTCTGTAGAAGAGCTGACTCCTTAGCTCAGGGTAATAAAATATCTATTTTGTTGATCAAGATTAAAAATAAATTTAACAAAGGTCAGGTATAGTGGCACATTTCTTTAATCCTAGCACTGCTGAGGCAGAGGCGGGCAGATCTCTGCAAATTCAAAGTCAGCCAGGTCTAATAGTTCTAAGGACAACCATGGGTACATAGTGACATTGTCTACAATTTTTTTTTCTATTAACAAAGTTGGAGCTGAAGAGATCAGAGGTTAAGACCACTGCCTGCTGGGCTCTGATGCCTTCTTCTGGCCTTAGAAAACACCGCAGGGAAGTATGTACAGACATACATACACGGCAGGCAAAATACCCATCTTTGAAAAAAACAAAAACCTGAACTAGTAGTTAATTTCTACAACAGTGGGGGGTGGTGGTGGTAAAAGTAGGAGTCAGAGGAAGGGAAGGGCTGTGGTCAAACATTCTTTTGGACATGACATGGCCCGTACATGGGGGCAGCAGCTGTAGTTACCCGCACAAGATGGCAACCTCAACATTCGACCCTGGAAGGGAGAGAGGCTTATGAGCCACCCCCCCCCACGCGAGTTTTTGGCAGTTAACAGTTGCTGGGGAAGGAGTCGACACTTTCTTCGGTGGCGAAGTCACCTCGAGTTGCTCAGGCTCCCGGAAATAAACACCCACCCACCCAACCTCATACAAATAATCTCGTGAATGGCAACAAAAGAAAGGCAGGAAAGAAAGGATGAGAGGGGCCCTGTTGGGAAGGGGTTCAAGCAAAGGATGAAAGACTGTCATGGAAGGAGAAAATGACCACAATGCATTGTATGTATGAAACCATCAATTAATTTAAAAATACAAAAGGCCAGGCTGTGGTGGTGCATGCCTTTAATCCCAGCACTCGGGAGGCAGAGGCAGGCGGGTCTCTGTGAGTTTGAGGTCAACCTGATTTACAGAGCTAGATCCAGGACAGGCTCCAAAGCTACAGAGAAACCCTGTCTCGTAAAAACAAAATCAAAACAAAATACCAAAAAGCAAAACCAAAACAACCTTTCTCCTTCCAAAACAGCCACGAGAAAGGACCTTCTGAGGATTAAGACTCCCTACAACCAAGTCGGTCTCGACCCTATGAAACTGTTCCCATTCTGTCAAACATGTTTCTAATTTCACACCAGATAAAACTCCTTTTTGCCTTTCAACACCCAGCTCCAACGTCCCTCCCTTTAGCTCTTCCTTCCAGCTAGCAACGGTTACAGACCGCCACACGTTCCACTCTCCCACGAGGTCTGCCCATATCAACCTTTTGCGACCCCCAGGAGCAGAGGCGTCGGACGGACTCAGTTCGTCTAGTCCCTAGCTCAATGCTCACCACGGTCTTTTTGTTTGTTTTTGGTGATGAATGAAAAGTCGTGAGGACGAGGGACAGAAAGACCAGACAAAGAGGCAGCGATCTCCGATCCCTCCTCCTCCCTAGACTCGCTCTCCCGAGGCTGCCCTTCACACAGGCTGCCCACGCCAGACACCCCCGGCGCCCCGCCCCCGCGCTCACCATCCACAGCGTCCTCCGGATCTGCTGTCGCGCCCTGAGCGTCCCGCTCCACGAGGGGCCCGAAGAACTCGGCTACCAGCTCCTTCATCCGGGCCACACCCGCCGACAGGCTCTGGAGAGGGTTCGCGTCCCCCGAAGCCTCACAGGACACTCGCAGTCGCCGGGTCTCCCCGTCACACCCGACGTACTCGCCCGTCAGCTCCATGGCGACCACTTAGCTTCAACAGCGCGCCACAGAGACTCGCCACCCGGAAGCGGAAGCCCACCCCGCGGCCCGGGCGGGCGGGAGAGGCGGGCAAAAGGAATGACTTCCGATTCCCGGGAGTGGCCCGCCCATTTTCTTCCGTCTCCTTCTTTAGGATTGGCTGCCTGGCGCTCAGGCCCCGCCTTCTCACGCCGCCCCGGGCGCTCACTTTTCCCGCCTCCGCTTGGGCCGCGCAGCGGAGCTCCGTGACAGTTGAGGATGGCCGGAGCCGAGAGCCCTGCTGGCTGCCAGGCGGAGCTGGAGCCCGTGGTGTCGCTGGTGGACGTACTTGAGGAGGACGAGGAGCTGGAGAATGAGGCGTGCGCCGTTCTGGGCGGCAGCGACTCGGAGAAGTGCTCCTACTCGCAGGTTCGCGCGGCCCGGCGGCTCCCGCCGCTCTGCCTGCTTCCCGCCTGCAGCGGCCGAGCCGGCTCCCACACCCCCGACCCAACTGCCCTTCCATCCTCAGCTTGTCCCCAGTAGGGTCCTCCCTGCGCCCTGCCGGAGGCACTCTGCATGCTCCGGTCCTTCTCGTCGCCTCTTGGTGGCCTGCTTTCCACGAGCTCATCCTCGTGACCTCTCAAACCAGACCTTCTTCGCCCCACCTCTCCCGCTCCTGCAGAGTGTTAATTAGGCGCCAGCTGGAGAAGAGCAGTGTTAAAGAAAAGTGGGCCGAATTTGAAAATCTGTCGGTGAGGGTGGGCTGCTCGGCACGCCTGCCGTCGAGTTTAACTGCTGGCTGGTGTGTTTTTCCGGTTAAGTTCCGTGTGTCCGTGCGGTGTCGGAACCAAAACATCATGTGACTCTGAAAAGCTCAGAGAGGAGGAAAGGATCATTTTGGCGTTTGTACAATCTTGTGAACAAGAGTTGGAGGGCCTGTGGTGTGTTTAGTGACGCATCTCATACATCTACGTACAAAAGCGGAGAAGGGTGGGTAGGAAGGAACTAGCAGGATGAGAATTGGTGGAAGGAAACAGGCCAACCGTGTCCGAGGGTGGAGTGGAAGACTGGGGAAGGAGGCAAGGAACTTTGGAGTTATTGTGTGATGTGGACTGAAGTCATAATACTATTTGTCTTCCTTAACCAACTTGGGTTTGGACTTCAAAATTGTTGAATAATTTTGTATCCCAGAAATAGTCGCAGATGGTCATTGCCATTTAAGTCAAAGGATCACCATGAAAACACTCCCACTTCTTTGGAAGAAGGAAAGAAAGGTCCTAAGTCTGGGTGTGCGCTGTTTATTAATACCTTTATTTTCATAGAAATGTATTAACTAGGGACTGGAGAGATGGCTCAGCGGCTAAGAGTGCTCTTCTAGAGGACCCGGGTTCAATTCCCAACACCCACTTTACAGCTATTATACACAGACATACATGCAGACAAAACAGTAATGCACATAAAATAAAAATAGATTATTTACAAACAAGCAAATTAAAAATATATATTAGCTAAAAATTTTTGTTGTTGGAGATAGGGTATTATGTAGAGCAGACTTGCCCTGAATTCCTGATCCTCCTGACTTCGTTTCCCAAGTACTGCTGGGATTGCAAGTGTGCATCATCATGCCTGGCTTAAGTTTTGTGTTTTGTGGGGTTTTCGTTTTGTTTTTGAGACAAAATGTGTGGTTCTAACTAGCCTGAGTTCATTACATAGGCCAGGCTGACCAAGTGCTGGGATTAAAAGCCTCGTCTTAAATTTGTTGTTTTTAACAGTCATATCTCTAGAGATATAGAAGTTTTTAAAATTATTATTTTATGTGCATTGGTGTGAGGGTCTCAGATCCCCTGAAACTGGAGCTGCAGACAGTTGTGAGCTGCCATGTGGGTGCTGGGAATTGAACTCCAGTCCTCCAGTAGTCAGTGCTCTTAACCGTTGAACCATCTCTCCTCTCCAACCCCTAGATGCCTGTTGTGCACCCCCCTCCCAAGTAGCTCTTGTAGACCAGGCTGACCTGGAACTCTTAGAGATCCACCTGCTGGGATTAAAGGTTTGTGTCACTACTGCCCAGCCCTACACGTTTTGTTTTTAAAGATTTATTTTTTAATTATTATGTCGGTATGTATGCAAGTGTAGGTGCCCTTGAGGCCAGAGGAATCTGATCTCCTTGGAGCTGGAGTTCCAGGGGTTGTGAGCAGCCCAGCATGGACCCTAGGAACTCAGTGCTAGCTCTCTGCAAGAGCAGTATGTGCTCTTAATCTCCGAATCGTCTCCCTAACCTCAGACTGATTCACTGATGTGTGTGCATGTGTACCACAGAACATGTGCAGACATGTGAGAACAACTGTGGAATCAGTTATCTACTCCACCTTTATGTGGGTTCTGCACATGGAATGCTGGTTTCTAGGTCTACACAGCCAGTGCCTTTCCCCGTGGAGCCTCCCTCACTGATCCTGCTGTTCCTGTGTTGAAGTAAAACAGATATCTATAGAGTTGGGCTGGCAAGAGGGCTCAGTGAAGCACTTGCTGCACAAGCCTGAGAACCTTTGCCCCATCCCCACAAACCACAAAAGGCCAGGCATATTGACGTGTGCTTGAAATCCCCTCTCACCATTTTTAAGTGTTGACACTATTTTTCCTTCAACTTTTAATTTCTAAATATTTTAAATTTACAGATAATCTGAAAGAATAGTATAATGAATATCTGTAACTTGTATATGTATTGTTTTTAAACACTTGTCTCTATTGAATATTTTGCCTCTTTTATTTGTTACTTGACAATAAGTAGTGGACATCATTATACTATTCTCCTAGATGTTTTTCCATTCAACTCCTGCAGATCAAAATGGTTATGTTTATGGATTGACTATCCTCTTTGGTAGAATTATAAGCATCTTCTAAAATTAAACATGTGGTATTACTCTCCCAAAACTATATAAACTCACCTTTATTTTTATGTGTTAAATGATTAAAAGTATCAACGCACAGATTTAAAGTTTCTATTGCTATAAGAAAAAAATTACATAAAAACAAGCATCAGTATAGGTCTGGAATTTGTAATAGTGCTTTGGTCCTTGGTTGCATGACTACATTTTCTTTTTCTATTTTTTTTTTCTTGGTGGGGGTTGATCATTCAGGGCTCAGTGAAGAGACAAGCACTGTATGCCTGTAGTACGTGCACACCAGAGGGAGAGGAACCAGCAGGAATTTGTCTAGCTTGCAGCTACGAATGCCATGGAAGTCATAAACTGTTTGAACTATACACAAAAAGGTAAAGCAGTTTTTGCAAAATGCCTTCTAAATGTTTAGATTCTTTTGCAACCACATGCCTACTTAGTCTTGCTTTTCATTCAGAGTAATTGCGTGTTGGTAAGATTTAGTATGGGAGGGAATGGCTTTTCCATAAGACTTAAATTTTAATTATGGTTACTAGCTCACACTCCTTGTCTTTTCCTTTTGTTATTTCATTTGTTTGTGTGTGAGAATGATAAAGACATTTGTTTTTTATGTGTAGTAGTATCCAGAATTACAGTCTTTTGTTGCTTTTGTTGGAAAACTTCAAATAAGATACACAAACATCAGAAAGGCCATTTAGATTCTAGAAACGAGTCAGAAAGGGAAGCTATGTTTGGTACTACAAGAGTAGTTAATTTTAAAAGGAAGCTTAAATATATGTTCTTCCTCTTTTCTTAATAGAAATTTTCGTTGTGATTGCGGAAACAGCAAGTTTAAAAATTTGGAATGCAAATTATTTCCTGTAAGTAAGCACTGTGATTACAAATGTACTTGGGACCAGGGGCTGGAGAGATGGCTCAGCGGCTTAGAGCATGACTGCTCTTCCAAGGATCCAGTTCAGTCTCCAGCATCTAAACTATCTGTGACTCTAGCTCCAAGGGGTCCACCTGACTCTTCTGGATTATGTAGAAACCTGAATACATACACTCACACACACATAAATAGAAATAATTTTTTTAATGCACTTAATGAACTAAGGTTGGAATTTACCAAAGTGTAAAAAAGCAAAATATTTATTCTTGAATATTTCACTTTTATTTGATTGGAAAAACTAAATAGCCCGTTGAGAATCTACAACATACACTGCAGTTAACATTAAAAGTCTGGGAGGAGATGTTCTTGAAGCTGATTGAGTTTTATTTATTGAGATCATTCATGTACACCAAGGCTTTTTAGAGCAAAGCATGTGGCTGGATGAAGAGCTACAGTGAGAATCTGTCTGCAAAACAAACCAAAGCTATGCTTTCAAAAACGTTGTAGGAAAATTGCAGATGAAAGAGAAAAGAAGGAGAATGCCAGTTTTCATTAACAATTGCTAAAACTTCCATGTTTTCTCCTTTAAGATTAATTTCTGATAGTTTTTCTCCTTTTTGCCCCCTAATAACCTAAAAGTCTTGTCTTTTATACCTGCATTTAAAGAACTGTCTTGAGGTTTGGAGAGATGGCTCAGCAGTTGAGGGCATGTACTGATCTTCCAAAGAACTTGAATTCAATTCCCAGCACCCAGTACCGATGGGTTTCAACTGCCTCAGCTCCAAGGGGATGTAACATCTTTAGCCTCTATGGGCACCTGCACTCATGTGCACATACCTGTACATACCCCTCCACCCTCCGCTCCATAATAAAAAGTAATCTTTAAAAAAAAAAAAAAGGCTGGGCGATGGTGGTGCACACTGTTGATCTCGGCACTCAGGAGGCAGAGACAGGTGGATCTCTGTGAACTCGAGGCCTGATCTACAGAGTGAGTTCCAAAATAGCCAGGGCTACACAGAAAAACCCTGTCATGAAAAAAAAAGCCAAACAACAAGAAGTGAAGACAAACATGGTGACTGACCACCCTGGTCTACATAGTTATAAGACAGAGAAACCTTGTCTCGAAAAACCATTAAAAGAAAATGTCTGCCCAGGTCAGTATCAGTTCAATAAACTAACCGTGCATATGATTTTGATTTCATTTGTTATATGCGTATATTAAATCTCTCCCAATTGCTGTGAAGAGGTTAGAGAAAATAAGGTGGTTTTTTTTGGTCTTTATAGCTTGAAAAAAGTATTTCTGTAATAAACTTT